AGGAATTCTGAGTGCATGCTCGGCTGCGTCCGCAGGAGCATAAGCAGTCGGTGGAGGGAAGTAATCCTTGCTTTTTTACTCGGGCTGCGTCTGGCATACTTTCTGCGGTTATGGGCCCCCAGGCACAAGACAGATGCTGATAAACCGGAGTGAGTTCAGTGCAGGGCCATCAAAACGGTCAGGGGACTGGAGTATCTGCCTAGTCAGGAGGTGCTGAGAGACTGAAGTTTGTTCTGCCAGGAGACGTGGCTTTGGGGGCACTTAATGGGAGCGCTCTCGTATCTACAAGGAGATCCTTAGAGCTCTTCAGTAAGCTGCGCAGGGACAAGCAGCAGTGGAACAGGTTGCCCCGGGAGGCTGGGATCGCTACCCATGGAGGTTTTCCCCACCTGAGTGAGCAAAGCCCTGAGCAGCCTGGTTTGAAGGCAGCATTGGTCCTGCTTTCAGCGGGAGGTTGAACTAGACTCCCCTCCCACCTGAGGGATTCTCTGATACCGTCACACAGAGCTCTTCAAAGCACATGGGCGCCTGCCTGTTTGAATGATGTTTCTACACTTAGGAGGTGAAGTATGATATGATGATCTGTAGGTATTATAGGATATCAATTCCTAGATGGACAAGTATTCTAAGCTTTTAAAAGCTGAGAAAACAGTTGTTGGTTATGCCTGCTGTAACTCTCTTGTCAAGGACAGTTAATTGCTTGTGGCATAAGAAAGCTGTGCTTTTCCATATGTTCAGTTTGTTTCAAGCATAACATTTTAAATAGTGCCAAAGGTCACTTCTGTAAAAGAACACTGAATTGAATCACTGTGCCGAAGTCTGTGGCATAGTTAATTCAAACTTCAAATGTGTCTGTAATGAGCCATACTTGTATTTGTTCAGAGGATGGAGAAGCCAGAGAAAGAGATGAAATCAGACATGACCGGCGCAAAGAGAGGCAGCATGACAGAAATCTTTCCAGGGCAGCGCCTGACAAAAGGTGAGTCACAAGAGACCTGCTGTATTCCTGTCCTGGCACTGGCTTTCCCTCGAAGGAAACGAGTGCACTGGGCTTCCTTTTCGTGACGCGAGTGCCTGAATTTTACCTTGTGGAGATGCTTGCTAGTACGAAGCGCTGCGCGTGCGCTGTATGAAATGGTATTACTGTGCTTGCGTACTGCAGTACTCTCTTCCACATTCAGTTTCCTAGATGAATGGAGGAGGTTGTTGGGTTTGGGTGGGTTTTTCCTTAGCAGAACCTCAGTATATTGCAGTTTAATTAACGTGTTGACAGCAAAGGTTGAATGAAACCTGGATCCTGTAACTTCAGTGAGACCACAGTATCATTAGTGGCTTTGTTTCTTTAAGCTGTTCATTTGAAGTAAGCTTAGATTTATGAGAGCAGCCTGAAGTTCCTTGTTTGCCCAAGCCTGTGAGATTTCAGAGCACAAATGGTTTCTGGAGGCTTAAGATCTCTAATATCTTAAAATTAGATTGCTCAGCCTTCCCAAAACATAATTACACAGGTTCTTGCAAAAAATAAATATGACATTTTAGACCAAGTCAGCTTGATGTAAATTGCAGATAGCGGGAAGCAAATTTAAATGTCATGCCCAGCTGAACACAACTTTCCCAAATGTTTCCTTTGCCCGGAGACGAATTTTAAATGTTACCTAGTAAGGAAGGGCAGGGGTCAAAACCTGGCTCCTGAGGCAAACTGTTAGTCACTAATACAGGATCAGGTTGCACTTCAGCATGTCAACAAATACGGTTTACTGACCTAACAAAACTTCAACTCTGTAATTCAGGTCAAAGCTGCAGAGAAACGAGAACAGAGATATCAGTGAAGTGATTGCCCTAGGGGTACCCAATCCCAGGCCATCCAACGAAATCCAGTACGACCAGAGGCTGTTCAACCAGAGCAAGGTAAAACTACCTGTCCACAGCTGTGCAGTTTTCTGTGGGAGTGTGCTCATCCTTCCTTAGTGGGTGTGGCTACGGCACCAAAAGGGCCCTGTTCTCACATGGGCGTGGATGCACTCCAAAAGAGGTCTCCACGTAACGGGTTAGGAAACTATCGATCCCCTTCATTCATAGCTGATGCAGCAGAAATGTGTAACTGACTGACTGTATAACTGGCTTAAAGTGGTTTTGTTGCGGTTCTTCTCACTGGGGAGAAGGAAGCGAAAAGCTGTTTTGCCTTCAAGCTGCAGTGACCTCGTTTTCTTCTTTTGTACAAAGGTACTGACTGAATAAGGGAAATCTGCTCCAAGAGAGACATGAGTGAATACTTTCTATTCCCATTATTGCTTGTGTTAAGAACCCTTCTGGAGATACAAACAGCTATCAACACTTGTTTTCCCTGAACTTCATACTATTCAGAGATGAAAAAGTAGACGAGGCTTCAGCAAGTCCCTCAATAGACCTGTAGTCTGTCACTCATTCTTTGTCCTGTCCCCAGTGAAGACTTGCAGACAGAAGGGGAGGCTGGTGAATCAAGGGAACAAGCAGCCACTGCTGCTTTCACAGCCTACATAAGAGTCTGTGATTTGCATCAGTCAGCTTAAATCATGTTTTCCAGAAATGCTGGATAATACACGTTCGTGTATGGCTGTACCTGGCTGTTGCAGACAGCTGTACTTGCAGGGCAGGCTGAAGCGATCCCCTGAAACGTGAATGGTCTGTAATCCTTCCTTTGCTTTCTGAAGAGTAGAAGTGGCTCTGACCAAGGCTTGTAATGGTTGTGTCATGCGCTCTAGACTTAATCCCAGGCCCAAACCCACTCCTGTCCCAATGGAGTGCTTGGACTCATCGTGGATTTGCTGCCGATTTCAGATACCATCCTGGCGTACCCACGTGACACCATGGCGGTAGCTTGGTGTTAGAGTAAGCTAGCTGAGGTTTTGCAGGCTCATTTGTGTGACACTCCTGCTGTTCTCCCTTCTTCACAGGGCATGGACAGTGGCTTTGCTGGAGGAGAAGACGAAATTTACAATGTTTATGACCAGCCCTGGAGAAGTGGCAAGGATATGGCCCAAAACATCTACAGGCCAAGTAAAAATGTGGATAAGGACATGTATGGAGATGATCTGGAGGCTCGAATAAAGACCAATAGGTATGAAAATGAAGTTAAGGAATGCTCTTCACTTGTATTCTGAAGTTACTATCAGCTGATTATCACCTGTTCTCCTGCAGGTTTGTTCCTGACAAAGAGTTTTCGAACTCGGATCGTAACACGAGAGGGAGGGGCAGAGATGGACCAGTTCAATTTGAGGAGGATCCTTTCGGTTTGGACAAGTTTCTGGAAGAAGCTAAGCAACACGGTGGTTCTAAAAGGCCATCGGATAGCAGCCGCCCTAAAGAACATGAGCACGAGAGCAAAAAGAGGAGGAAGGACTGAGCACCTCTGCTCCCTCTGAGGTAGAGACTGTGAGCTCAGACTGCACGCAGAAGGCATTTTTAATACCGGGGGTTTGTAGGGGGGTGGCATTCAAATGCAGGTCACAACTTGTGCAGGTATGTATGCACACGCCAGCTGTTCTGCGTAGGACAGCTGCCCCTGCAGAGTGGAGGAATGGAGACCGCTCAAACATTTCACGAGGGAGTGACTCCTTACGAGTGCTCTGACTTAGCCGATTCCCTGTTGCCCAGCATCTCAGGGTAAGAATGCAGCCCCTCTCTGCAGCTTTGGTTTTTGTAGGTAGCTAAAGCTTTTACTTCATCTGTCCAAAGCTGTCCCACTGCATATAATTACTGTGTTACATTGTACTAGATGCTAGGGAGGTCGTGGTTCTGTGTTTCTTCAGTGTGGCTATACTGTTTATTTGAACAAGGAGGAGAAACAGCTGGGTTTGGTTTTAAAACAAATAGTCACAGTTTCTCAGTAATCTTTATTTTAGTTTCTTTACACATAGTGAAATAAAGCCTCCTTCCACCACTCACTCCGCTTCGTTCGTTCTTGGACCGTGTCTTCCGCGGGACTGCTGTTTGACACTGAGCTGAAAACAAGGGACGTTACATTAGTCAGGCCGAAAGATCCGTTGTGTTTCACTTCTGATCTAGGCCAGCTATGGAACAGGGAGGGTGGGTTCGTAACTGGTTCAGTTCCATCAGCGCTACCCACCCATGCTAAGCTCCAGATGGGAAAGGTGACTGTAGTTCATACCACAGCTGGTAGCTGTAGCATCAAAATCCATCTTCAAAGCTTGTGCTGTCCCGTGGAACTAAGGAAAGGTAACCATCTAACCCTAGCCTAGAACAAAGCGGGAGAAGTGCTCCTCTATCTTCCTTCTGTAGAAGCCTGCAGTTTTGAAGAAACGAAGCAAGCTAACCGCTGCCTACCTTCTGCCTCTTTCACTGTCGGGAAGCATCTTGGCTTACGCACCTCTTGTGAGGGTGCCGTCCTCGAAGCCGAGGCACTGCAGTTAACGGGGCTTTTTTGCAGCCTCAAAAGTAACTGACACTAAGCACTCACCTGTGCTATGCCTGGCACTCTAGAACTGTGTACAGATCACCTCCCAGTTACTTTCAGCCCAATTTATGAGGTATCAGCCTCTTGCCTGGCTTGTCACAGTCTAAGACCAAAGTAGGCAAACTGCTCTGTAATTTCTGCTTCCATTTCTGTGCCACAGCTGTAACTCGGAGCAGCTCCCAAAGTAACTACGACCACTGAAGGCTTCCCCAGTACTGTGAACCACGTCAAGGAAAACACTTCATCACCACCAGCTACACCCCTGAAGGCTCGTGCCCATTCGTTTTGCTCTTAGCAGCTCCTAGTGCTGAAAGTCTCAAAACCAGCAACTACTTGCCAGAAGAACATGGAAGAACCCTTACTATGTATTCAGAGACCGGAACTGACAGTGTCTGTTACAGCGGCCTGCTTTTGATCTCTGTTGTGGTATCCTTATGACCTCAGATTGTAATGGGTTGAGAGGGGGGAATAAACCCAAATGTTGATGATTTAAAAGAGCATTAAAAGCAGAGTGGCAAATGCTTGATCACGCTTGGAACGAGCATGGCAGTATTCTGATGTTGCTGGGTCCGACCACAGGCAGAATGAAAGAGCTCAACCCGCTACACTGCTTCATTGAAGGAATCAGCATGTTACCTTGGCACCTTCAAGGATGTGGGGGTCCTTCTGAAACACATTCTGAACGTCCTGCGAAGTCGAGAACTTAATCCAGCAGTAACGTCGGTGAAAGCCTGTGTCTCTGTCCTAGGTACCAGTTAAAAAGAAAAAATCCCGTTACTGCAGAACATACTCACACAGGCTGTTAAAACTTTCTGCAGATATTCCATGTAAGGATTCAGAAGTTGGAGAAATAAGCACACTTGCTCTTTCAGAAGCCTTTTTCACACTTTACTCTCACTGACAGCTTGCGGGGGCCTAGCAGAGGCTGTTCTGCATCCCCATCTCTCAATCTGAGCCCAGCCATCCTAAACAATTTAGGGGTTTAAGGTACAGCTGAGGACTGGAATCACGCACTGCTGGTTGTTTCAAAGTGCAGCAGTTAGCTACTGTTAAGCCAGTCACAACAGAACTGACATTTAAACAGCTGCCTGATTTGAAAAGAAGTCTGCCACAGTACTCTGAAAGAGTTTGGGAAGATAAAGCAGCTGCTTAAGACACGAAGAAAGCAGGTTGTGATTCCAGATGACAAGCGCTAACAGCGCTGAAAGGAAAAAAAGGTTAATTTAAGAATAATTTGCCAGTCGGAAGAGACAATGCAGAAAAGCCAGGTCTACCGACGTGCCTTCTGTCCCAACTCTGATCCCCATCAGAGCTCCCAACAGCTCTGGCACTCCGATCACCTGGCATGACTTGCCAACACCGTCCCCGTTTTCACCCGCGCGGCGCTGTAGTCATACTGCCAGTTTCAGCGTCCCAGAGATGTCTTCGTTAGGGTGTCTTAACGCTGCTGGCAGCTTTCTGTACCTCTGGCACTTTAAAGCATTAACGGATGCTCAAAGCAATCACTGCATTGGACAGACCCACATGCACCAGCTCAGCTGTAATCCGTGACGGAGGCAGGTTTACGCTGAGCTGCCAGCCTTCCCAACTACGCGACACCTTCTGTCCTGGGCCTGAAGAACACAGCGCCACAGGCAGACACCTAAGCTTCGGCAGCCAGAGATAACCTGGTGGTTTCAGTCTGTCTCTCTCCATTTCCAAACCCATCCTGGACTGACAGCAAACCCATCGGCTCACTAACTGAAGTTCTCTACACACTGAGCTTCATTTAACAGACCGTTAGTTCATATGGAGAAGCACAAGCAGGCAGGTGAACCTCTGGTCCTTAAGCAACGACCTGCAGCTTCCCCATAACACAGAAGGGAAGAAACACTTCTATGACTGTGCATCTCTCAGAAACTGCATCAGATTCTATTATCCCCAACCCACGTGCCCAGAAGGTAAATAACCTAACCAGCAGAGGCTGTGCTTGGGAGCATCCTGAATAGGTGGTGGGGTTTGCGTTAGGGAAGGGGTGTGAGCCTACAGCAGGAAAAGAGTGTGGGTTCATACCCACACCTTCCGATTTTTTAGGCCAGTGAGGCCAGGCACATGAGTACTTCATTCTCTGACAGAAGACAGAACACGATGATGGAGAAGCGCAAAGCACTTGTAGGTTAATTATTCAAAGCCGCCAGCATTGGCAGGCCCTGAGGGATGTGCTTTCTGGAGCGCTCTCAAGGCCCGCGGAAGGCACCAGGCTTCAGCGAGGCCTCCGGTTTGCCGGCAGACGGCG